AAACCCCCCCCCCCCCCCCCCCCCACATCTCTACACCCAACATAAGCACCCCCCTTTCTCCCGTGTCAACCCCCCCACCCCTCTCACCTTATCTCGTTGCTTGAATATAAACTCCATTTTGTTGGTCATTCTATGAACATTTTGGCCTATAAAAACCGAGCAATACGGAACACGCAGATCTACAAGTGAGCGCTTGTCAGATTGTTAGTCCAAAACGCTGAACCTTTCAAAACCTTCCTTGACACATTAGCTATATATTCCGTTGTCTGGCTCCCCATTTTCGATCGCTACTTGGGCTTTATTCGGACTTTCAAAACCCATGTTAGATCCAAACCAAAGAAAGGCTATTGTGTGTCTACATATATAGTGGACCGTAGTGTTTAGGCTACGTATTGTTCGATTTATACCGCTTTTATTCAATACAACGTATTCATAATGCCTTTTATGCCTTTTATGCCTATTGTTAGAATATAAGTCAACGATCTAAATAGCTTAACAAGTGAAAAATAACAAAATGAAATGAAGTTTTACGCCAATTGATATGGTTTAGGTCTAAAGATGACATATAGAGCCTATTGTCATGCAGTGCGCAATCAGTAAAGTGTTGTTTTGGTAGGCCTATTAGGGGGTGAGAGCCGACACCGGACAGACTCTTGAAGGCACTGGCAGCATAATTGTTCTTACTATGAGGAAGATTCGAACCTATGGCACCTAACCGCATAGCAGACGAGAATCCAACTCGCTACCTACTGAGCTCTTCCAGTGCCACAGTTTTTTGGGGTGAAACTTAAGTACATCGAGTGTCTTTTAGAATGCCCCTCTCCCCCTCTCCAAAAACCGCCGTCCCCAATCCAATTGGTAAAGGTAGTTTTTCAAGGGTACCCCCCCATCAAACTGTACGTCTAAGTGTCGTAGACGTACTATAAATAGAATCTATATGGCTTTTCGATACCACGTCTGCTGGGCTGCTATTTTTAAATTGTTTACGTAAACCTATATTAGCATCAGTATATAACTATACCAAAAACAAGTCCATGTACATAACGTATACTAAGCTATGCTCTAATTTTAGATTCATATTCCTATGTTAATGAAGAAAACGTAAGCCTGTATCAAAACCTTGATAGCGTCTCCGAACGTCCGTTTTCTACGCAGACGACAAACAAATATTTCTTTGTCATTTTCCTGAAAAATATGACCTATTTGCACCGGTCATAACATTTTTAAATTTTGTCTCAAAAAAGTCAATACTGTCCCTTTAAGCGCCTACATCAATATGAACAATCACTGTTATCAATACCACCATTTCCCACACAATTGACCCTCATTCCCTGCCTCATGCCCACAGACGCGGGAGTAAATTAATTATATAACCTCATTACTTACCATCGTTAATACATTAGCTAGATAATATGTGACCTGAATTAACTGGTCACCTAACCTAGATGGTAGACAGAAATAAACACGATTTAATATATACTTCGTACATAGTGTTTGTATACACTCGCTTCAAGTATCACACGCGGGTATCGGCTTTCAAAAGAACACTGCCATCATTAAAGGGAGACTACCGTCTAGATATTTACCTCTTGACATTGATCTTTCCCAGATTATCTGTACCCATTTACAGCTGGGTTGACTGGAATAATGAGGAAAGATGACTTATTCAAGGTCACCAGACTTTCAATGCCACTGACCAAGATAAGAACCCAGGACCACCATTTCTTCAATGTAACCAACCAAATTGACGCTACCCATATTGGTGTATTGAATTGTAAGCAAACATTTGACCAGATTTCCATTCTGATAAGTATTACAGGTAACTGGGAGTGAGTTCATCTAGCTCTTAAAGATGATATTCATATAATTGAGTCAAGTTGACAAACACAATGGCAGAGGAGAGGTGGGTGCCATGGAAAATCTTTTATTTCATTTTGTACAATTTATTTGTGTTTATCTCTGATGTGCGTATTGCATAGAAAAAGGAGTGCTTTAAACTAAAAATAGACTAATTTTTTTAACAAAATAACAAATGAAGGGAGGGGGCAAGAAAAATAAACTTTCAATTGAAATCTTATTACTATGATCTCCAAATTTGGTGTATTAGTCCTGGGAGGCATTGTTGTGGATTCCTATTAGGCATAATGCCCAAAAATGCCTCCAAGACTTAACAAACATTAATTAAGGAGGCATTTTGTGCAATATCGTTGATATGCTGATATATCATTCACCTAAATGCCTCTGTGAATTTCTGGCATCTTTAAGGATTCCAAGTTGGCATAATCTCACTGAATGCCTCTAGAGCTTATCAAACATAACTTTATGAGGCATTTTGTGACATATTATCCACCATAATGCCTCTGGGAACATGAATCATGACACAGTACCTCACGATCATAGTACAAATCAATAGAGGCATTAAGAAACACATTTAGGCATTGATATAAAGAGAGAGGCATCTGGTGTGAAAATGCCTTTCATCAACTAAACATAAACTTGATATTGTCATGAGAAAGCAAGGCATAATTAATAAATTTGGGCATTTCCTTGTATTAACAGTAACTCTTTAACATAGTACACATAAATAGAAATTATTGAGGCATTTTACTTAACAAAAAGGAGGCATTTGGCATGATAATGCCTTTCTAAACTAACATCAACTTTACGACAATCAACAGAAATGATTTTAAGGCAATAAAAGTCAGAATTAATGATGAATCAAGAAGATGAATGATGGACAGTGTTGCCAGAGTATCTCAGAATACACAGTTGCCAGATTGCAGATGCATTTTTGAGGACCGAAGCATGTCATAAAACTCACACCCCTTAAATTGGACCCTGAAACACGTCCATTCCCTTTCTCAAGAATTCACGATGGCAAATTCAAGTCTCACAAACGGAAGTAGTTCTCTCCCTTTGATTGTCCAACATGCAGACAACAATCTAGCCACAGGTGCTGTATTCGGTACCCCTGGGGACTGAGAAGTTTCCTCCTAAAAAGTTGTCACTACCACTTCATTTTTTTGGAGAAAAAATTAGTACAGACACATGTGCCTAAGATCTTTAACGTGCACAGCCTGTAGCACACAGGGCCTCGGTTTATTGTCCCATCCGAACAACTAGACGCTTTTTCCATGTCATCCTCTCTTACTTGCATCACTGACAGGGGGAAATTGGGTTGAAAAATCTGAAGGTATCATCTCAACCTATTCCGAAATTGAACCCTGGACCTTTCAGGTTAGCGAGCAAGCGTCTAACTCACTGAGCCACCGTACCTCCCAAATTTCCCAGCAGTAACGAATACAGCATTACATTGTCAAGGTATTCGAGTAATCTGGCAACACTGTAAGCAACAAATATATATATATATAATTGATATAACTTTAGAAAATAATAAAGATATTTAAGCATTTGTTCCTGCAGTCAACTATTGTACATGATAACGGTGTCTGATATCTACAACTCGCCAAACAACCAACCTACACACTCTCTGTCAGGGTGGTTTGGAAAGTTTTACCATTCCAAGTTGTCTTGAACTGTTCTGGAAGAGGGAATTCCTTCTGCAATGGAAAAGAACATCTTGGATTAACAACAATAAAAAGCAACAACCAAATTTTACAAAGCGATCAAGATTAAAACCCACAACCACCATTTGTTCGAAAAGGGAAGCAAATGAGATCATCTATAGTCTCCAGCACTCTCCAGGCCGGGTGAAATGGCGTGGCATGGGAAGACAACAAAAACAGAGTAACAGGGTACTGAAGACTGGGTGGAGTGGCGTGGCAAGGGAAGACCACAAAAACTGAGGAACAGGGTACCAAAGACCGGGTGAAGTGGCGTGAGATGGGAAGACAACAAAAACAGAGTAACAGGGTACAGAAGACCAGGTGAAGTGGCGTGGCATGGGAAAACCACAAAAACAGAGTAACAAGGTACCAAAGACCGGGTGAAGTGACGTGGCATGGGAAGACCAAAAAACAGAGTAACAGGGTACCAAAGACCAGGTGGAGTGGCGTGGCATGGGAAGACCAAAAAACAGAGTAACAGGGTACTGAAGACTGGGTGAAGTGGCGTGGCGTGGGAAGACCACAAAAACAGGTTGCAAGGAACTTACCATATCTCCATCATCAGTAGGAATCAAGATGTTCATCTCGGAAGATTTAGCAGTAACAATTTCAGCTCCCATAGAGTCTTTACTAAGATAGATCATACAGCCATCTGTCTTGTCTACACTTACAGTGTTCACTTTACCTACAACCTACGATAGAAATAGAGTCTTTACTGGTTCTGACACTCTAACCAACCAAGCCTGTTTCAAAAATCTGAGCTTAATAGAGATAAATTCAAGATTTTTAGAAATACTGTTATCCGATTGGTCAAGAAAGCTTGGTTTATAATCGATTAACCAATCAGAAGACAGGAACAATGCTGCATAACTAAGCTGCTGAACCTCAAGATCTTGGCGTCTGCTGGTGACTTACCTGTCCCTGAACACTCTGGCAATTGACAAACTCCATGGAAGACAAGATGTCATCGAATACTACACCACATTTTTTACAAGAATCTGAAAAAAAAATCCAGAAACAATTGATACCCACGGGCAGAGTTGAATCAAGAAGACCCATTAAAAGCCGTGTTGAGTTGACAAACCCATGTGCAGAGCTGCATCAGGAAGACCCTTTAAAAGCCATGACAAACCGAGGTTCAGAATGGCATCAAAAAAACTCTTTAAAAGCTGTGTTGAGTTGACAAACCCAAGCGCCAAAAGGCATCAGGAAGACCCTTTAAAAGCCGTGTGGAGTTGATAAACCCAGGTGCCGAATGGCATCAAGAAGACCTATACCTACCCATAATGATGGAGTTGACTTTGCCTTTAACTTGAATGGTGGAGTTAACACATTTAAAGATATACACTGTCTGTTTCATCTGGGTTTGATCTATCACTATACCCTTATTGTCCACCTGGTATTCCTGAAATCACAGAGGAGAACTGGTGTCAGGTGTTTTGGGGTCTTCATTATCTAACGAAGACTGGTGGCACAATAAACTTATAAAGTTTAGAAAATTCTTTACAATTCCTTTCAAGGTGCAGTCTTGGTCGCTGATTTTTGTTGCCGACTAGAGTCTTGTCAAGAGTTTTCAACGACCGGCTGCGGGCACATGAGGAGACAAAAATCTCCAGTCGGTCGTTTTCCACTATGTAGATAATCACGTGCGGAACATGCAATTGAAAGGAAAGATGAATCTGAAAGATGAATCGTCTTGCAGACGATAAAATATCGAACTATGGAAAGAAGGGAATACAAGAGATTTCACTAAAGATTCGAGTCAGCGACAAAAATCAGCAACCAAGACTGTCCCTTTAAGACAATGTACTTACCACCAGCCACTTCTTGCCGTTCTGTAATTCAAGAACTGGAGGTTTGGCAGCAATAACAGTTTTGGTTGGAGAAGGTCCTTTTACTGGTTTACTGGCTAGAGGTGGTTTATAGGGAGCTGGACCTTGACGTAAAGCTGGGTTCTTGTGAGTCTTCATATCATCAGTCACTTTCTTTAATCCTGGAAGGAACAGCAAGATTCTAAAATTTTGGAGGCAAATCTGTTGATCCAGTATCCAAAAGAGTCCAACATTTCAAAGAAAGATCTTCAAAAAGGCCTGCATATTGTAATATGGGTCCAAGTTTTTTGATCTTGAATAGGTCATTTTTCAAGATCATCCAGCTGTAAATGGGTACAGATAATCTGGGAAAGATCAATACCCAGAGGTTTGGTCAAGGACCAGCTGGTAGACAGGATCCTCATTATTCCAGTCATCCCAGCTGTAAATGGGTACAGATAATCCAAGAAAGATCAATGCCAAGAGGTTTAGTCAAGGACCAGCAGGTAGACAGGATCCTCTTTACAGAAGTAAAAAAGAGCCATCGCTTACCTTTGGATACATCAAAACCTTTGTTGATGTCATTGAAGAGAGCTGAAGCATCAACTCCACCACCAGAAGAGGCTGGACCAGGAGCTCCAGGAGGAGGTGGTGGGGGAATACCACCAGGAGGTGGTGGTGGAGGGACACCAGCTACAGGAGGGGGTGGGGGTGCTCCACCAGCACTGGCAACTTTACCCTAAAAATAGAGAAAAAAAAACATAAAATCAATAAATCCTTCAAAATTTTGGGGGGTTATAGGCTTTAATATTCAAAGTCATTTTGATTGATCCAGACGCATTTCAAGTCTACCTCACTGATTTTATTTGACTGAACTTTTAATACAGCCACTTCAATGAAGATCTAAAGACAGCCCTCTTGAATGTTGGTCAAATTAACCTTTTGACCTAACTTGATAAACACTGTGTCACAAAATGACAGCTTTGGAAAGGGTAGAAATTTGATTGGTTAAAGCAGATGTCTTTGAGTTAGGTCAAAACGTAACTTAGATGAGGGCTGTCTTTAGACCCTAACTGAAGTGGCTATATTAAAAATAAAAGCTGAAAAAAAAAACGGAACAAAAGTTTGGTCTAATTTTAGAAAAGACTGGCAATTTTTCCCTCCCAAAAGATTCTGCATGAAAATAATTCCTGAAAGTCTTGTAAAAGAACCTTCAGACACGTGTCTTGTTTTAAGAAAGAAAACAACCATAAATGGCTGACTTCCTAAACCATTTTGGTTGCGGAAATATTGGGGGCCATGTCAACCAATGTCACATGTTTCTGTAGAGAGTTCGTAACCAAAACCATATGTAGTTATTTTATGTAAATTGTGTACAAATGTCAAACCAACTTAAATACATTTCCTGAAGGGGGAGTGATTGTAAGCTTGGTAAAAACACAAGTGGAACTTGAACCCTTTCTCCCAGCATTCAACAATTTTTCCCAGTGTTCAATTATATATGGGTTTTGGTAAATATTATGTATTTTTAGTTCTTCCATTAAAGGGAAAAAACCAAAAAATGTGGTCTTTAAAGGGATTGTAAAGAGGTTTTCTATATTTTTCATGTGTATCAGGGACACTGATAGCATCAATTTACATCATTCCAATTTTCAATCAGACGTCTGTTGAATCAAATTTTTTCATGACACAGGCAGATTCGAACCATCAGATGCTATATCTATCTTCTTAAAAAGAGATTCGTTGAAAATGTCGGCCCTAAATTGAGGTGCATTATTGTCAAAATTATTTTCGATTGTCTATAAACAATAACTACAGTTTCCAAATAGTAGAGTACATTCAACTCCACTCGGCCATTTTCTCAAGCTTGGTTGCCAATGGCGTAGGAATACATTACTATATGTATAAACTCAAACATCTGCCTCTATTTCAGCCTCTGATAGCTATTTTGAGAGTTGTCGGCTGGTGTAGAGACAGAAAAACTAGGCCCTGTTTAAAGGGATTGTAAAGAGGTTTTCTAAAATTTGTAAGTGTATCGGGGACACTGATAACATCAATTTATACCATTCTAATTTTAAATCAGATGTCTGATGTTCCTGCAATTCAATTATGCCAAGGAACTATTTTCTATCGAGCATTCACAAACCTAACAATTCAGAACAGAAAGGAGGCTACCAGCCAGAAAACAATACGCAGCAATTGAAAACAAATCATGTGTCTATAGTTCCGAATAGAAGCAACATTCTTTGCCCTTTGGCAGAAGTGAAGATGACATTTTCTCAATAGAGAGCAGACGCAGAGTTAAATGTCAGACTCCAAGTGGCAGCCATGTTGGATAAACACGAGAATATTTTGATAACCTTTTCTGATTGGTTAAAAATGTGCCGTAAGGTACAAATTATTTGATGTGTTTGTGTAAATTGTCAGGTGAAATTGTTTCCTCTACGTTCGATAAGGAAAAGCTAAAAGTGCGGCCATTTTGAGAAATTTTAGGCCAATATCTTTTATGTTTGTGGGAGGGTTGTAGCTCATTTAAAATCCTGCATGACATCATTTTGTTTATTTTTGTCAAAAAAGTAAACGCTGATCCTTGCATTTTAACTTTTAAACGTGGATAAGTCTAGACACACATGGATTTGAAGGCTCAAATTTCAATGGTGAACTGTGAACACTATTACTGATTGGCTTAGCTAAAATATTTCCGTTTTTGAGACTAAGTTATGATTGGTCAAAAAATATCGCACCTGTTCCTTAAAAATAGCAATATCACTTTCAGAGGCACAGAATTGGGGAGTCGGGTAAATTTTCTTTTCGGCCTATCAAAAGATAGCAATATTACATGTTTCGGATTCAATTTAGGAGAGGTTGAATCTTTACGATCTGGATGACCTAAATATTAACTGGAACATGGTTTCTGGGCTAGGATAGCAACCATCTGGACAATTGGCTGACCAAACGAGAATCAGATGTGGTGATGCTGAACTGACCTTTCTAAACACCAACATTATGTAGCGAGCACTCCATACCTGTTTTTTACATGTTTCATTTATAGGTAAACCTCGTATCAGGGGAGCCACGGTGGCTCAGCAAAATTTCCCTCATTGCACACTGCATGCCTTTGCTCGTCTTCATTAGCCAATAATGTGCAGAAAATGGGATGTAAAACTCCATTCATTTCATTTTCATCAGGGACAGAAATAATAATTATTATGTCACATGATTTTCAAACCAGCCAATCAACATGCTTCTACATACAATTTGTTTTGTAAATATGTACACATATAACAATTTTGAGAGAATGATAATCTCATAGGTTTCATGTTTCAAACAAAACAAAACTATTTGGATAAAGTGTACCACAGTCACTAAAAATATTTTGGCCGTTTCAACGACACCACACACATGGCATGAAAGTAAACCTCTTTAAAAGAATCCAAAAATTTCAAAATAAAATTTTTGACAAAGCTCCAAAATACACCGAGAGTTTTTTTACTTTTTCGCTCGTTTACGTAATTATGAAACGGGTATCGAGCAATAAAATTAATGACAGAAGAATGGCAGTTAGGATCATCAATTTGTGAGTAAAACTATTTCATCATTTTTGTTAATTTTACCAGATGTGCACCCAGCAGTCAGCCTCCGTTTTCTACTATTAGCAGACGATTCTACCAGTTCTTCTTCACAATTATGACGTCTGTAAGGTAGAGGTGTGCAACTTCGATGATGCTGGGGTAAAGCCCAACTTTGATTTTTTGGAAAATTAAAGGTATTGTGAAAAGGTTTTCTAAATTTTGTATGTGTATCAGGGACACTGATAGCATCAATTTGCACCATTCTTATTTTTAATCAGACGTCTGTGGTTCCTGCAATTCCACTAAAACTAAGCATCACTGTCGAAAAATCTGCTTATATCACATAAGGCCATTAGATATCAATAGTAGCTTCCGGTAGCTCCCCTCTAGTGACATCATCAAACACTTCTAAGTGGAATTGCAGGAACCACAGATGTCTGATTGAAAATTAGAATGATGCAAATTGGTGCCATCAGTGTCCCAGTGCAACTAGGGCATCAATTGCACACCTCTATTCAAAAAATAAATTTCTAAGACGGGTAAAACAATGAAAGTAATTTTTTAGCAGTTGAGAGTAAAAAAATGGCATTGATTTTAGGATGTCTGCAGCAGATGGTTTATGAGGAGAGAATTGAAATTTAAGAGAGTACACAACTTCGTTATTTCATAATCTACATCGTAATCCAAGTTAAAGGCATGTTATGTCAGGATTTACGCTTGTTTTTTTATAGAACACTGTTCAGTGAGCTCTCTTACTTTGATCTAAACTTGCCTATGCAGGATTGAACCTTGGACCAGTGAACACTTAAAGAGATTGTAAAGAGGTTTTCTAAATTTTGTATGTGTATCGAGGACACTGATAGCATCAATTTACATCATTCTAATTTTCAATCAGACGTCTGTGGTTCCTGCAATTCCACAAAGAATAAGCATTGTATATCACAAAAGGGCATTATATAATTTAAGCATATTTTGCAATACTGACATCATCAAACACTTAGTTTTAGTGGAATTGCAGGAATCACAGACGTCTGATTGAAAATTAGAATGGTGTAAATTGATACCATCAGTGTCTCAGATACACATAACAAATTTAGAAAACCTCTTCACTATCCCTTTAACTCTGCAAGGCGCCATGATTCCAACGCTGTGGAAAGAGTAAATATTATGGTATATTGTAGCTTTAGATACAAACAATGTATTTAGTTAAGAATAATGTTTTTAAACCGGTTGGTATTGAAATGCCAGATTGTAAGATATAATGTTGTGAAATATCAAAAGCTTTTATACCAAGTTCACCTTCAAATGACATCTCAAATGACACAACAAATCCAATGTCAGATTATTCTTATGTCAATGTCAAAATACATAGAAAGCAGTCTTAAATTCTGATGTCATAATACAACGAAAGAACTATTGAATTCTAATGTCAGAATATGCTTAAGAACTAATTCAAATCCAATGTCAGAATACCACTCTAGAATTCTAATTCCAATGTCAAAATCTACTCAGAGAACTCTTAAATTCTAATGTCAAAATACAGAGAAAATCTTTCTGAATTCTAATGTCAAAATGTTCTAAAAGAACTCTTAATTCCAATGTTAAAATTCAATGTCAGCAATCTTGAATTCCAATGTCAACATACATTAAAAATCATTCTGAATTCTCATGTCAAAATGTTCTAAAAGAAGTCTTAACTTCCAATGTCAAAAATCTTGTATTCCAATGTCAACATACAATGAAAGTCATTTACAATTCCAATGTCAAAACCTACTCGAAGAACTCTTGAATTCCAATGTCAAAATACAGAGAAAATCATTCTGAATGCCAATGTCAAAATGTTCTAAAAGAAGTCTTAACTTCCAATGTCAAAAATCTTGTATTCCAATGTCAACATACAATGAAAGTCATTTACAATTCCAATGTCAAAACCTACTCAGAGAACTCTTGAATTCCAATGTCAAAACCTACTCGAAGAACTCTTGAATTCCAATGTCAAATTATGCCTGAACAAGTCTTGAGACACAAATGAAACACACTGACTCTTAAAGACAAGAAAGACAATACAGTGCAGTGTACAATGAGGGAAAGAAGCTTCTGAGGTTCAAGGTCTATTATAAGAGATGCATTCACCTTCAAACTTGCATCAAATACACATCTACCAAAGTCAAAAGATACAACTGTAACAAAAAGGCCATCATAAGTCTATCACCTTTGACCTTTCAACTCTGACCTTTACCGAAAATCATTAGAACATGGTTCCAAAATACAATTCCTCATTGGTCTAGAAAAACAAATAAATCGCAGCAAGCCTCATTTTGATTGACAGAATGAGTTCTTGAATATTACTCACTTTCATTGAGAAAATTAGCAGAAGTCAAAACACTGGAATCTGATTGGTCCATGCCAAGTGTCAATCACACTTTGAGTGACAGGTGCCTGTGAAATTAGTGCGTGAATTGGATTTTAATGGCCGCCACACTTGAAACGGTGTCGAGTTACACGGTGGAAATCTGTGAGCTCTTGACAGATTGGTTCGTCTGTTACAAAGCTTTGTGTCTGCTTCCCAGCATGCCTCTACTTTCACTTTTTAACTGGCAGTTGAATTTTAAATATATTCTAAATATAGCTCACTTGAATTCTTCAATTCTTCGATTCTTCACAGTTGGGTGATGCCCAAGGCTGATTGAAGTTTTTCAAAGACGGATACAAAATAGAATGAAAATTTTCTGCTTTCCTGTGTCTGGTCAGTCTTATGTTGGTGGGAAATGCCATGCAGTGTACAATGAGGGAAATTTTGCTAGACCAGCGCACTCCAGACATTTAGGTTATCAAGGAGGTTCTTTTATTTTAAC